ACTCGGCAGGGGAAGGGTAATAAAATTACTATTTTGGTTTGGGAGTGATATATGTGGATATATTACCTGCCAAGATAAAATATCACCCCCGCCTATCTTGACAGGTAATATATCCACATATATCACTCCGAAACCAAAATAACATATAATATCTCACTTTTTGTTAAATTGAAAATATGATTGTATTTTGGGCTGAAGGCCAAATAATACGAATAAACACATTGTCATTGTCATTGTGTCTCTTAAAATACAATGCTAGAACTGAAACAGACAATACACCCAATATTAAACATGAGGAAAAAGACCAAGATGGAAGAGTTACAATCACGGAACGCAGCCTGAATGTACACACAGTCTGACATGACTACATATTTCTCAATTTGTGGCATTAAACAACATTTGCTAGTTCTAAAGTCAAAGAAATAGAGGATATTTGGCTGCTCCACTTGTGAGAATATTGCTTTTAAAGCTCATTCGATGAAATACTTTTTTAACTTACACACAACCAAAAAAAATTGTCTTTTAAGTTATGCTTAAAAACAACTTTAAATGAAATTTCCTAAATATTAACTTAAATATTAAAATCTGTGTTTCCCACTGGTAGTATCATTGTCATTTTAGTCGAATTTCTTAAAAAGTACAAGAAGTCATGAGCTGAAGAATTAGTTCGACAATCAACGTTAAATGACAATGATTATTTATTTATTAAAAAAAATATGAATGATCGCTTGTTTCATTAGTAAAAGCAAACAATTCTAGCAGACTTTGTGTAATATAAGCGGCCGCCATTTTAAAAAGTTGTGTATTTCATGGGAGGAGAATACTTGTGTTTGATTCATATAAAGAATACCTTTTGTTTTGCATGTAAGACTGAAATATATTTCAGTGAGTGAACACCAGATGCAATATTTTCACGAGTGTCGTAGCTACGAGTGAAAATATAATAGCTGGTGTTCACGAATGAAATATATTTCAATCTCATACGTAAAACAAATAAATTTTCTTTTTATTTCATGTTTTTAAAGCGATTTTAAATATTTAGTCAGACAAATAAGGATTAGAACACCACACTAAATACCGTATTCAGGTATATACCGGATAAAGCGTCTGAATGATAAAATGCTAAAATCTTGCCTTTTTACTCAACGGAATGAACTTTTAAAGGTCTAGTTCATCTTTTCAATCCGATGTATGTATGATAATGAATGAAAAATGTAAAAATCTGCGAAAAAAACAATATTTGTCTATTTTGTGAACATGATTTCTGCAAGCGTATAGACGTACTGTTCCAATCCTGTATTGAGTTAAATCCTTGAAATATAATAGTTTTGTTAAACTTTCTCTAATTTTATTACATTTTAACATGATGTATGATGATATCCACTTTCTTTTCCTAAAGAAGCAAAATTTGCGTATGATGGCATTTATTTTTGCCTGTTATTTCATTTAGTAATGATATTCTTTTCATCCGCATTCAGATATAGTTTGGTAACAGTGAAATTTAAATTGGGAAACATGGAATTGTTGAAAAGCTGCATAACGGACACTGGGCTGTTTACTTGTTCTTCGGGCTGATGGCTGACATTGCTTTTCAAGTTTTCATATTGCACTAGGCAGTTATTGCTGGTAGGATACCTAAATATGTCCAAATGTCATCAAGAGCAGTGTTGAATGTGGGAGGAATTGTAATTTTTAGACTGTAAAAATGAAACAAAAAATTTTGAGACGCTATTTGGTGATTGGTAATTTGAAAGAATTGAAGAAAGTTTTCTTCTTTTTATTACTTTTGAATTTTTAAGTTATTTATTAATTTCAGCTTTGCTTTTCTCTTAACAGCACTGACAATGTCAGAATAATTATTGTCAGCAAAAATATGAATGAGGTCACATGGGGAAACCTGAAAAAGTAGCCTCGTCGAAATTATATGAGGATATTGAATGAGTGTAGTTTAATACTAAATTTATTGAACGAGTTGAATAAAATCATATTTTGCGAGCCTATGGCGAGCATAACATTGTTTTATTCAACGAGTTCAATAAATTTAGTATTGAATCTACACGAATATAATATTCTTTTTATCACATATATAAAATAAGAACAGTAAACTGTTAAAATGAGTAATTTTTCAATGACGCGCACATAGTGCAACGCTAACATTAGTGCGCTCTAACGCTATGTTTATATAGCGCAAATGACGTCACGTCAAAGTGTTATTACACTAGTGTAATATCGTTTTTATTAAATGGCTTTATTACACTCCTGCGCCGCGGTTTATGTGATAAATTTTGATAATTTTCATTGTGAAATTATAAAATTTATTACGTGATTCTCGGTGGTTTATAAAAATATATCAGTGAAACAAAAACTTATTATTTCACTGTTTTAACAAGTGAAAATATCAATTTAATAATTTCACTTTTTGAATATTTGAGCCCGTTACTTTGTTTATTAAAATACAAGCGTTCACAGTACTGGAAACCAACTAATGACGTGACGTTGTAAATGACGTCACTCTGTATTATTATTTGGCGCACTTTTCATTTAGTACTAGGTTAAATTGTCTTTTTAAACGTTTCTTTGCATATAATAAAAAAGAAAATTTGTTTAATTAAGTCTAAGATCGAAATACGAGGGCTGTTAAAAAAGTTCGTGGACTGCGGCTCTACTGTTTACATCTTTTAATTTGCGTATATGATTTTACAAGAGATCTATATGAAAATATGTCCTTAATAAACAGTGAAAAAATCAATAAAATATGTTTACAAATAACAATTCTGTGACAGTTACAAATAACAAGGGGTGCACAATCCGGCGCACGCTCATGATGAAACAAAATGACGTTCGTGACGTCACAATATAAATGAAAAATTTTACCAGCGTCATTGGTTCTGAAAGTACTCTTTTTAGTGTTACATTACATTATCTGCGGATAATATACCAATAGAGAAAAACAGAATCCCTAAAGAAAGTCCAACACAACAAAATTGAAAATGTTGCAGGCTCGGTTTGATTGAGCCTGTTCATGGACGGTACTGGAAAGTGCAAGTTACCGTCCACGCCCCCTAGCACCGGCTTAAGCAGAATTCAACATTTAACACGAAAATGGCGAAATTTTGAATTTAGAAACATCCGCAGATGTGTTCATACGGCGGTCATCATGGAACCTTCAATGTGACACAGTAGTGCCATTCCATGAAAAGCGGCGTATGGTCCCCAAGTAAAAGAATGCTTTTGCCCTAAACGAGAAAACAATGGGCGGAACCAAATAAAATGGAATTTTGAAAGGGGATCTGAGGTTATGTAGCCTGCATATCACAGATAAGACGTCAAAAGACAAATTTAAAAAGCAGGCAACATATCCTAAGGGTGATTATACAGTATTCAAGTAGGAATACTGGAACCACCCAAGTTGAAAATGTCCAAAAAGAAGAAACTACAAGTACCACATAACATGTATTATGTCAAAAATAATGTCAAAAATAATGTCAAAAAAGGGTGATTATACAGTATTCAAGTAGGAATACTGGAACCACCCAAGTTGAAAATGTCCAAAAAGAAGAAACTAAAAGTACCACATAACATGTATACAAAACAATAATGCCAAAACCATTTTTCTGTTTGTGATGATGACCCGAGATATGAAGTGGTCATCTTTTCGCTCCATTCTCCGTATAAAGGTCGGTCCGAGTCACGCATACTTTCCGCTCTTTATCGGGATTTTTGAGTAATTTCGACACTTAAAGGACAGTGTTAATAAGTAAATTCAATGGTTGATTAATATTATCAATTTGAAACCGCCCTCGTCCAATCTTTAAACAAAATGATTATCAATGATAAAGAAAAATAGTTTATCTTTAACTGACAATTACTCTATGCGGTAAATCTACTGAACACCGGCTAGCATTAATTGTCAAACGGATCAGGGTAAATACACGTAACACAAATAATAACTACAATTATTTATTGTAAATACGCATTTTTCCTGATGAATAAAATAAAAAAGTATTTTCATTAAATTAAATTGTTTTGTCAGAATTGAATGCATAGACTTGATGCAGAAATTAAACATGTCGGACATCTCGCAAAACTTTCATAATGTCTGGACTTCTGTAGATCTTTTGCAATTGACGTTACAAACGTCCCAACAATTTGCCGCTAAAAATTATCCATCGCCTTTTCTGTCTGTGAGCATGTATTTGCCGTATTTGAATCGCTTGCGCGACCTGAAACCAAGAGACTTGCTCGCCAACTCATTGCTCTTTGTTAATTTAATCACCTCATTAAAAAATATAAAGGAATATCCCACATTTATTGGTAAAAATTTCCAAAAGAGCGAATTTCTAGTTTTTAAACGGGCTTTATACTTTCTAACTTACCCGTCTGTCTACTGCTGTTCAAAACCTGTTTGTTAAGCTATTCAACGTCCAAACGGCGTCAAATTTCAGATTTATGTCATTTAGATATTAATAGATGATTATTTGTATTTTACTTCATAAAACAATCATTCTGTTTGTTTCAACATTAGTTTATATTTAAACATTATATGAAAATTTCGGCGTGCGCCGATGTTGCGTTGCCATGGTTATTAAAGTGCACCTAACTCTTAAAGGAAATAAAAGTTAACAATAAAAGTAAATCTACTTTTAGAAATAAAGACACTCTTTCGATTCATATCCACTAAGAGTGTTTTTATGAACCAAGTAAAAAATGACAGCAAAAATCCACGAACTTTTTGAACATACCTCGTATATTTTACCCCGTGAACACCAAAAGTTCATATTTCACTTGTGGCTGCGCAACTCGTGAAATATACCTTTTAGTTCTCACACGGTGAAATATATTCCGATCTTACTTTAAACTTACCAAATATCCTCCACATATTTTCATAGATAAATCAGTAATCCACTGAAAAACATTAAAAAAAAATGTTAATCTATTCATTTGTGACTGTGTCACTGATTTTGTCGTATGATCTTGTTGTTGTTTTTAACAATACTCACAATATCAAAATCTTCAGATCCCTCTGATGCCAAAGAAACTTCAAAAGCGGCACCATGCTCAACGTCAATATAATACGCCATTGTCTGAAATAGATGATACAGCAATTAAAAATATACCTACAGATATTTTCCGTGTTTTACAATATTTACCTCCTTTGCCAACAGTGGTAGCCATAATTGGCGTCCGCGCCAAAGCGCGACGCCCCTTATGGAATGAAACTAGTTTGCTTAAAAAGAAGCATGCGAGAGGTTTTTTTGCTGCTGTGGTTCGAAAATATTTCGGGATATTTTTTATAAACTACAATTATTCAACAAAATAGAATTTATTAAATGTATTGAATATAGAGTATCATAATGAAAGTTTGTTTTACACTACATTTTTTATATTTTTTTAAAGATTATATGCCGGAGAAATGGACTTTTTTCTTGGCGCACCCGCACTCCAGAGCAAGCCCATTGATCGGCTAATTTTTGCTAAGTTAACTTATTTTGACGGCAGAGAAAGGGAAAGCGACAAAAATATCCTATTCAGATGCTCGTTCATTGGTTCCGTTTTGTCCGGGGTTTCATATTGTGACAAAAGGGCACGTGTTTTATGTTTGACTATGATACAAAAGAGAATGAACATAAAAACAAACGGCAATCTGATTAATACTTGGGGGCTACGTCCCTTATACAAATCAGATAGCCTCATGTTTCGATGTTCTTTCTATTACTAAATTTAAAATAAATGATATATAGAGGATATTTGTTTGTTTTGCATGTAAGGTTGAAATATAATATCAACAACATTTGCTAGTTCTAAAGTCAAAGAAATAGAGGATATTTGGCTGCGCCACTTGTGAGAATATTCCTCTAAAAGCTCAATCGATGAAATACTTTTTCATCTTACACAAAACTAGCAAATTTTCTTTTAAGTTATGCTTAAAAACAACTTTAAATGAAATTTCCTTAATATTAACTTAAATATTAAAATATGTGTTCCCCACTGGTAGCATCATTTTAGTCGAATTTCTTATAAAGTACTAGAAATCATGAGCTGAAGAATAAGTTCGACAATCAACGTTAAATGACAATGATTTTTTATTAAAAAAATATGAATGATCGCTTGTTTTATTAGAAAAAGCAAACAATTCTAGCAGAACTTCCGACCTAAGTTACGTTACAAAAAAATGTACTTACGGCGAATTTATATTAGACCAGACTTTGTGTAATATAAGCGGCCACCAATTTTAAAAAGCTGTGTATTTCACGGGATGAGAATAATTGTGGTTGATTCATATATAGGATACTTTTTGTTTTGCATGTAAGATTGAAATATATTTCAGTGAGTGAACACTAGATGCAATATTTTCATGAGTGGCGTAGCCACGAGTGAAAATATAATAGCTGGTGTTCACGAATGAAATATATTTCAATCTTATACGTAAAACAAATAAATGTTCTTTTTATTTCATGCTTTTTAAGTGATTTAAGTATTTTTTTAAACTGATTTTGCCATGTAACGTCGCGCATTCTCCTTTTTGACGTCATCAATTTTGAAAATTTCTCTAACTTTGTTACATTTTTAACATGATGTATGGTGACCTCGACTTTCTTTTCCTAAAGAAGCAAAATTTACGCATGACGGCATTTATTTTTTGCCTGTTATTCAATTTAGTTATGATTTTCTTTTCTGGTGATTGTGTAAATCTACCTGACTTTCGCTCATCTTTCACTGAATTGTCACTATGTTTTCCTTTTTTATTCCTTTTATTTCCACCTATTTAGCCCAAATAATATGCCCAAACAACACTAAAACACACTGATCGCACATTTACAAAAGTTTACTACATATTATATCTTTAACATCCAAAAATTGAACAAATTCTCATCTTTTTCAAGAACCGGGAAAAACACCTGTTTACACCTTGATCACGTGACTTACCATTAAAGAGTAACGTCTTCGCAGCCATATGCGGCTATCCCTTTTTCCAGTTCGATTACATAAAAAATATATTTGGCCAGTTTTCTTACGTACCGCGTTGAAAATCCTGTCAGGTATCCGCCATATATTGCACAATTTTGCGTTACTTATTGCACGAATCGTGCGTTATTTTTACATAGCGGCGTTACTGGATATACACGATGTTATTTACAAGTGACATTCACAGGGACGCTGATCATTTCCGCTACGCTAGTCTAGTTTAATCAGGATGATAACGCTTTATCAGAAACTCGTGCTTACTTTATAGGCGGGGCTTAGTATGCTTAGTGTTCTGTCCCATGATTCGAATTATCAAATAAATATTTTTCAGTAGAGCTATACAATTTTTTTTTTAATTATACAATATATATTTTCAAATTTAGAACCTACATAAAGAAACTTATCGCACACAATTATTTTTTTATGATGAACAAATATTCAGCAGGATTGAATAAATATTATGATATAGCATATAAAATTAGAGTTACACATGTATACAATATAAATATTGGATATAGAACAAAAATTTAATTTATTGAATATTGCAACGTACACGCCTTATATTACTGAGCGCTGTACAATTGCAGTTGATTTGCAAGCAAAGGGATTCGTAACCATTTTCTTTGATAATGAAATTAAATAAAAAGGTTACTTTTGCGCTTTTCGTGAAAGAATAAGATCATTTAGATGGTTTATATTTCCACTCAACATGATAAAATGCCACATAATTTTAATCGCCGCCCCAACTCTTGAAAATATGTGGCACTTTATCATGTTTCGTGAAATTATATTCCATATTTCACTCAAACGAAAAAAATGCTCTTAATATTTTCGAAACAAATTTTCCACAGCTGCAAAAAAGACGACCTCTCGCATGCTTCTTTTTAAAGAAGCAAACCTGTATCCCTTGTTTTCAAAAAAAAAACAAAGACATTAGAAAAAAAGTTACGTATAAGTGACTGAAGATATTGCAACAAAATAATGGATTACCTCTTTCCTTTCAAATCTGAACTTTTTAACTGTTCCATTTTCCATCATGTGAACATACTTAATATGCGGAACGTGATGATTTCTTTTTAGATTTTGAAAATGTTCATGCAATTCATCTGTTGACACGTCAACATCTAATTGGTCAGGAAACTGGTCGATATACCTTCTTTGTCTTTTATCTGTAGCTACAACCTTCACCTTAACTGAAAATTAGTACTAAAAGTCTTGGATGAACAATCACTCTTAGTCTATGGCTCAATGGGCACATTTTCCATAAGTTTTTCTTACAAATATTAATAAAAACAATAAAGGTATCATTTGATTAAATATATAGGGGATATTTGTTTGTTTTGCATGAAAGATTGAAATATAATTTCACTGAGTGAACACCAGATGCAATATTTTCACGAGTGGCGTAGCCCTGAGTAAAGATATATAATAGCTGGTGTTCACGAATGAAATATATTTCAATCTTACATGCAAAACAAATAAATTTTCATTTTATTTTATGTATTTTAAGTGATTTTAAGTATATTTTATTACTGATTTTGCCGCGTAACGTCACGCATTCTCCTTTGTGACGTCACCATCGTCATCAATTTTGAAATATAGTTCTGTTAAATTTCTCTAATTAAAGACAAATTTTGATAATTTTTTAACATGATGTATGATGTCATTGACTCTTTTTCTAAAGAAACAAAATTTACGTATGATGGCAATTATTTCTGCCTGTTATTTCATTTAGTTATGATTTTTTTTCATCCGCATTCAGATATAGTGCGGCTAGAGTGAAAATTATATTTTATAAATTTCACTAGTCTAGTTGTTTATTGGAATATAAACAGTTGATATATTACAATAAAACACTGGAAAGCATGAAATAAATAGAGGATATTTGTTTGTTTTGCATGCCACTCGTGAAAATATTGCATCTGGTGTTCACTCAGTGAAATTATATTTCAATCTTATATGTAAAACAAATAATTTTTTTTTATTTCATGCTTTTTCAAGTGATTTATGTCATGTATGTATTTTTTACTGATTTTGCCGCGTATCGTCGCGCATTCTCCTTTGTGACGTCATCACATCTGACACATCATGACGTCACATCATCAATTTTGAAATATAGTTCTGTTAAATTTCTCTAATTTTGTTACATTTTAACATGATGTATGGTGACATCGACTTTCTTTTCCTTAAGAAGCAAAATTTACGTATGACGGCATTTATTTCTGCCTGTTATTCCATTTAGTTATGATTTTCTTTTCATCCGCATTCAAATAAAGTCCGGCTACAGTGAAAATTATATTTTATAAATTTCACTAGTTGTTTATCGGAATATAAACATCTGATATATTACAATAAAACACCGGAAAGCATGAAATAAATATCTTAAACAATTGATAGCCTTCAGAGTTATTTAGTATGGGTATTGATATGATTAAATAGAGGATATTTGTTAAGTTCAGTGTAAGATCGGAATATATTTCACCGGGTGAGCACCAAAAGGTATATTTCACGAGTGGCGCAGCCACGAGTGAAATATGAACTTTTGGTGTTCACAGGGTGAAATATGTTACAATCTTACACTAAACTAAACAATTTTTTGTTTTTATTACATGCAAAGAAACGTTTTAAAAAGACATTTAACCTAATACTGAATGATAAGCGCGCCAAATAATAATACAAGGTGACGTCGTAAATACGTCATTAAGTTGGTACCCAGTACTGTGCACGCTGATATTTTACTGAAACAACGTAAGGGGCTTAAATTCAAAACAGTGAAATTATCAAAGTGGTAATTTCACTGTTTCAACAGTGAAATTACCAGTTTTTTATTTCATGCTTTCCAGTGTTTTATTGTAATATATCAGATGATTATATTCTGATAAACCACTAGTGAAATTTATAAAATATAATTTTCACTGTAGCCGGACTTTATCTGAATGCGGATGAAAAGAAAATCATAACTAAATGGAATAACAGGCAGAAATAAATGCCGCCATGCGTAAATTTTGCTTCTGTAGGAAAAGAAAGTCGATGTCAGCATACATCATGTTAAAAATGTAACAAAATTAAGAGAAATTTAACAGAACTATATTTCAAAATTGATGATGTGACGTCATTGATGTGATGAACGTCACAAAGGAGAATGCGCGACGTTACGCGGCAAAATCAGTAAAAAATTACTTAAAATCACTTAAAAACGCATGAGATAAAAAGAAAATTTATTTGTTTTACATATAAGATTGAAATATATTTCATTCGTGAACACCAGCTATTATATTTTCACTCGTGGCTACGCCACTCGTGAAAATATTACATCTGGTGTTCACTCAGTGAAATTATATTTCAATCTTACATGCAAAACAAACAAATATCCTCTATATATCACTGATATATTTCTATAAACCACCGAAAAGCATGTAATAAATAATGATATTTTTCTAGAACAATTTATTATCTACTAGTTTACATATCGATGCCTTGGTGCAAAAGGGTTGTAACTCAATATTTTGAAATTATTCAGGAGAGACAAAAAAAACTTATCTATTCTTTTACGTTCTAATAAAATACTTCTTTAATTTTGGTTTTTTGAGCTTTCATTCATTTTACTGATATAAAAATTGATTGGAAAGGTTATTTCATTTTTTGTCAGCATAAAGAGATAATTGATAAAGTTTCAGTTAACAACCCTTTTGCACCAAAAAAATAAAAAAATTTCAAAAAATGATTTGGTGCGCGAAAGGGTTGTAAACTAAAATTTTTTGCTTTAAATCTCTGATAAATGTAAAATGGGTTAAATGAACAGATCTAAGCTAAGTTGTGTTTAGTATGAAACTAATTAAAATATGGCCTGGATTAATTCAGTTGAAAAAACCTTCAATTTTATGTTTTTAAAATAAAATTTCAGTCAAATGAATTTTTTAAAAAATTTCACTTTATATATAATATTTTTTTCCATGTGACACACAGTTCAGATTGTCAAACCCATATAAGTACCAAATATGTTTTGTCTTTGCAAGAATCAAAGTTCAAAAAAGTGTAAACTTACATAATGACAAAACCATCTAAGATGTTAATATAAGCCTTTAGAAAATGAGAACACTCTCATTTTATTTTACATGTATACATAGGCTTTTCTTAATTTGAAAACTTAGATAATTTCCAGGATGTGCTTTTGTGTACAAATTATATTATTTAAGCATTATCCAGGATCTTATTTACTATTAAGCCAAAATTATGAGAAAGATGATAATAGATGTTCTAAGCTTCTAAGCTCATGCTATTCTTACAACTCTTTACAGTCCCAAATTTCATTGTTTATTATGATATAAATCAGTCAGTAATTAAATGAGAAAAAAATAAGGCCTGCAAGTAATAACAATTACAAAATGCAATCCCCCGCCCCAATAAAATTCACAGCTGTGCACACAAACGCACATACAGCTGAGGAAGAGATTAACATCTTTAAGAATGATTTTAAATAGCAGATAGAATATATCTGATAATTTACTTATAGAAAAACATGCTACTGTCTTTTGATATCAATTTTATCAGGCTCGGCTGATATGGGCAGAAAGGGCTCGGCAAGCCTCGCCCTTTCTAGCCCATATCAGCCTCGCCTGATAAAATTGATATCAAAAGACAGTAGCATGTTATTCTCTATTTATCTAACAGAAATTCTAACACGACCTGCATTTTTCCCTATTGAACATAGAAAAAGCGAAAGGGTGTGTTATTATGCTATAAAATCACTGTTTGGCGTTCTATATTTAGACGTGCGACGTAATCATTATACACGTGACGTAACCACTAAAAATGTGACGCGCTGACAATAAGTATGGAAACAAATCAGGCGTAATTTAGCTTATTATCATGTACTTCAGCATTTATTTGTTGATGTCGTGTTAGAATCGCAATAATATATCCAAATCAGCGATTTTATTGCTTGATAACATCACTGTTTGTCGTTCGGATGCGCATCATTATATCACTCGGGCTACGCCCTCGTGATATAATTCCCCGCATCCGAACTCCAAACAGTGATGTTATTCAGCAATAAAATCACAGTTTGGGATATATTATTTCTTAAACAAAGGGTCAATAACATATTTTACTTAATATTCAAACACTACCCGCATTTTTCCCTATTGAGCATAGAAGATCGAAAGTGTGAGTTATTATGCAATAAAATCACTGATTAAGACAAATGACGTAATCATTATACACGCAAAGTAACCACTAAAATGTGACGCGCTGAAAATGAGTACGGAAACAAATCAGGCGCAATTTAGCTATATATAAGGTACAGCATTAAAATTTCATTTGTTGATGTCGTGTTAGAATCAAAAGTAATATATCCAAATTGGTGATTTTATCACTTAATACAATCACTGTTTGTTGATTGAATGTGCATTGATCATTATATCACTCGGGCTGCCCCCTCGTAATTCCACACATCCGACCTCCAAACAGTGATTTTATTGAGCGATAAAATCACAGTTTGGGATATATTATCTTAATTATCTACACATAAACACCTTTTATTTAAGAAATAATATATCCCAAACTGTGATTTTATTGCTGAATAACATCACTGTTTGGAGTTCGGATGCGGGGGAATTATATATAATGATCAGCATCCGAATGACAAACAATAAAATCACTGATTTGGATATATTATTTCGACTCTAACACGACATCAACAATTAGATGCTGCCGTACATGGTAATTAGCTAAATTGCGCCTGATTTGTTTCCGTACTTATTGTCAGCGCGTCACATCTTTAGTGGTTACGTCAGGTGTATAATGATTACGTCACATGTCTACATATACAACGTTAAACAGTAATTTTATGTATATGTTAGTGTTCATCCGTGCTGTTCTACAGAAATTAGAAACTGCGACGGGAGCGATAGCGACAGGAGAATGTTTCTAATTTCTGTAGAACAGCTACGGATGAATACTAACATATTTAGTGTCAAACTTTATTTGGCCTTATAATCACTCACTTTATTACGTCACTATGACGTTCTATGAAGTACTATGAAAAATAGAAGTCGACTATGAACGGAATTCGATATATAGTATCGACTTTTGTTCTGTGAAAATTAACGCACATAATTTGTTAGAAAAACAGTGTTTTCATTGGTAGACAAATAAAGTTGGACACTAATGCATAATAACACACACTTTCGGT